AATCTCCAAGAAGTCGTTGATTTTGGTCTGGACAACCTTGCGATGTCCTCTCACGCGCACTCCCCAGTCACCATGGAATTCACGTGACTCGATGCCCTGCTCTCCGACGGTGAGGATTTTAATGTGCTTGCTGATTTCCTCGGCCTTTTGGAACTCCTTAATCGTTTGATAGTGTTTGACCAACTGCTCCCGGGTGGAGATGACCATCTTGTGGGACTCGCCGTAGAGCTTCGTGTAGCAAGTGACTAGGAGATTAAGAGTCTCTTCGCGCATAGTCATAACCTCCGTCTTGCTCTCCGTCACGCGACTGACGGTCAGCTCCAGGAAAATGTTGGCCAATTGTGCCGTGAAGGACGGGCTGTTGACCAACAGTTCGCGGCTCAGGCGTGTAGCCTCGAACAACAGGGGTGTCGCCTCCGGAATATATTCAACGTCACGGAAGAACAGCGCAAGGTTGATGATAGACTGAAGAGTAACCCGGTCCTTGGGGTTCAGAATTTGGCGACAAATAGTAGTCACAGTGGTCTGGTAGGTCAACAATTCAGGCGTGGGCCTGTTCGCCCAGAGAGCCCTCTGAAGCAGGAGAACGGTGATCGAAACCGGCAACACCTTGGCAAACTCCTTGGCAGCAGCCGTCTCACCCTGGTTGATAAAGACGGTTGTTTGTCTCAGATGAGACACCCAATACTGAACCGCAAACTCAAGCAGGGGGTATCTGCTGACCAGCGAATCGGTTTCATGGCCGATGAGAGGGGAGAGATACGGCTCCTTACCCTGAGGCTCGGTCACATACGACTTGATATAGATCAACAGCCTAGTCACAAAGTCGGCGTGACGGTCCTTGACGTTGGGGATCAATTTGCCTTTGGAAAAGACATCCAAGACCGCTTCCCGGATAAGGCCGTGACGAAGATAGACCTGCCCGTCCTGAACAAACACCAAAGAGTTGACAGGCTTGAGGACCTTGCGTGGTTCAACCTGGTAGCCCTCGGCGATCGCCAACTTGTCAACCTGGATAGAGGCCAAAGTCTGCAATTCCTTGATCAGAAGAGGGCGATCAGCAGTCGCGAGCCACAACAACATTAGGCGAGCCTCATCGGTTACGCCCTTTTGCTGCACTGTTTCGAGGACGAGATTGGTGATGGTCATCTTAGCGTTGACAACATCATCCACCGCTTTGTTCAGGGTATCGGCATTATCCGCGCTGCGAACGCGCTTCGAGGCAAGCTTGGCCCACAGGAATGAGCCCTTGGACGCTTCGGTGATACGATCCACAATCGACTCCTGCTCAATATCATCAAGCTCAGGGAAGACGACGCTTTCCTTGGCCTCCAGGAACTGGCTCCGCACAACGGTAGCAATGTCTTCGAAAATTCGCTCATCTGTGACCGGCACAGTGATATGACCTGGCGCCTTAGCTGGCGTCTCAGCACCCAGGGTGATCAGCTTCACGTTTGTGCCCTTCGTTGTGGCAGCGCTCAGCTTCTGTAGCAGCACGGATTCACCACAAGAAGCCTCGTCAATACCATCAACAACGATAACCAGTTCCTTGGCTCCGTGAAGGGCGGCAACCAACGCGCTCTCCAAGGCATTCCAGAGGATATTATCGAAATCATTATCGTTCGTGGCCTTCTTGCTGCGTTGGAAGGCATCAGTCAGGATTTGGAGCAGCTCGACGTTTCCAATGCGCTTCTCAAAAAGCTGCGACAGAATGGCCTTGACGATGGCCCGGGGTCTAGTCCCGGCAGGAAGACGAGCATCTAGATTTTAATCAGTAAAAGATGGATTAGAGAGGCCAAGATCTAATTGGAGTTACTGATGGGAACAAACAGAGTCTTGTAGGGGACTCCGCGGATCGCGTGTTGCAAGTTGTCAACAATCACAGATGCCAAAACAGTTTTACCGGAGCCTGGCTTGCCCACGATGGACATGACCTTGTTTTCGCTCGTTACGAAGTCAAACAGGGCTTGCTTGACCCAGCGACAGGTGTTCTCCTCACGGTCATGGGCAAGGTGTGAGACGGTCTCAGCAACATTGGAGAGGACACGATCCTCGGGGGTGAGCCAGGATCTGACAGCCCTAACATCGGCGACTGGAGGTTCGGAAGATGTCAGTTTATGGCTCGGTTTCAAAGAAAGGTAAGGAAGCTTGCCTTTGGTCTCGTCACCACGTTCCTTCAAAAGCTGGTGCTGCCACATGGACTCGCTAATCTCTTCGCAGGCACGGCGGAATCTGTGAATTTGCTCCGGGAAAGCCTCGTAGATGTTGATGTATTCCGACTCATCACCCAGGCGGAGAACGGCCTTGTGGAAGTGCATGGCCACACTGGCGACCAGGTGCACCAAGTCCTCCAAGGCCTGCACCAGCTGCCTACGGATATCACTACTCACACTAAAAAGCGCGGTCCGTTCGAGAAGGTTTCCGAGGGCTGTGGAGTTGCTATAGAAAAAGCCAAAGGATGTCATCAAAGCGGAGGCATTCTCGTCACCGAGCTAAGATGAATGACCATTAGCGTGGTTCTCGTACCTAATCCGGGCGATCATACCTTGAGAAGGAGAAGGCAGTATCCGTAGGCCATCTGGAAGGCAAGGCCGCTGACATTGGTGAAGCCCTCAATAGCCTCTTCGAAGGACCGGAGTCTTGTAACGAAGAGCTGCGCCCAGCCGAGGACTTTGTCATAGTCGCTGCCGTCGGGGGGCACAAGGGTCATACGCTCGTCCTGAATCCAGGACAGGACCATTTCATAGGAGTCACCCGAGATGGTCAAGCCCAGCTCATCGCCGGTCTGGCGCTGTAGGATAGACAACTTCCTGGAGAATTCCGTCTCCTGAGGGTCGAGCCTGCGGGAGGACACCCTTCTGGAAGTGATTGAGCGAGACATACCATTGTTGGACATTGTGTCACTCTCCGCGAACCCCGAGATACGTCTGGGCATCTTGGGGGAGAGAGGGGAAGCAAAGCTGCTAGGGACGGGGGACAAGATAGATGGAGCCATTGTGATTGTTGGGTATCAGCAAGATCTGGGATTTCTGTGGGCCTCGAAAGTGTTGTGTTCTTCACGGGAGAAGGAGTGCGAGTGAGTTGTGGCGACTGCTTGGGGTATCTGGAGGGGTTGACTGTAGGCCGTGGAGGAAGGTCAGGCTCAGCAGAGGTCTCTCCGGAGAAGCAGCGGCAACAACTCACTATACAAGAAAAATAGCGACGCAAAACGGCAACCTAACACATGGAAGAATAAAGGCTTTGATTAAGAGGTTTATCCTCGTATCGATCTGAGGGAGAGGAAGGACTCTCTCTGTGGGAGGAAAGATCACTTTAAATAAGTAGGAAAAGCAAAGGAGACCCTGGACAAGGGGGGTTGGATTGGGTTACCGGGGGCTGATGCAATGAGGTGGGCTGGTGTGTGAGCACGATTCATGAGCGAGCAATAGTGGCAAGCTTAACCCCCCCCCATCCACGATGATACCTCTTGCAGCATAGCGTGGCTGAGAGGAGTCCGATCCCGATGGGTCCCCCTGTATCTTTGGCCTCTCAGCACCGTCAGAACGGCTGGGAATTCCAAATCAAAGTTTCTTTCGGAGAGGACCAATAGAGAGATAGCTGTCAATGGGGTTGCAAAACCCATGTCTTTGACTCTTTGCATCCCCTCCGACGATCAAAGTTTGGTCTCCATGGCATTGACATCACGGGTGCAGGGGATTCGCCGCTGAGCACCTGCAAAGGGAGATGGAGGGGAACAGCGTCGTGATGACACGATGAGCGTATCAGAAAGGGAGGTGGACTTTCTGCGCAGTGCGTCCCAGCCTACTGTGAATTGAGTACTGACCCATTCCCTGACCGTGCGGACGGGATGAGCAGTGGAGCGACACAGGCCAGTCTGGACGAGTGCAATGTCCCTCTCCACATTAGCACCGGTGTCTCGGGACTTTCTGTCATTCAACACGGGCCATATCCCGTATGGTGCCCACACCCACGAGCAGCGGCAGGGGCAGGCGAATAGAGCTCACATTGGGTCTCGTGAATTGCTCGTGGCGGCCGTTTCCAGCTCCTTTGAGCAGCAACTCGGAGTCTCCGTTAGACCAGAGCTGAGCTCCTCCTTGGGCTAGTTATCCCTAGTTGCTGCATAGTCTATTGAACAGCTATGATCCTTGCTAGGGTGAGAATTCAGCTGTGGCTGCCTGAGGGGTAGAAAGAGGACGTGATCTCCCGACTGGGGCGGAGGGGGACTGGATGGGCCCAAGTCTTCGATCGGGGCCAATGGCAACGAACGATAGTCGGATAGTGGGCAAACCCGCATCGTCCTGACGAACTGCCGATCGAGGGGACGGACGCGGATTGGATGAATCCTTCTCGGCTGGCAGGACTCGATGTGATCATCATGGTATGTAAAACCGATACCATGCCAGTGTTCTGTATGTTGGAATTAGTTCGGCTACTCAGCAGGCAGAGAGGGTTCCACCGGGCTGAAGACGGGATAGACGGTTGCCTACTTCGGACAGATATTTGGTTTAACCGTCAAATTGATGGTCGGTGAATACATTTGCTGAGGGTTTCTTGTCTACCGGAGTAACTATGTCGGCACACGATCTGGTCTCTCATCAGAAACCAGTCCCAGCGCCATTGTCGTACGCTGGACGATTGGGAGATCCATGGTTGGCAAGCACACACAGACTCCCGGCTGAGGAACCGCCCCGGCCCGCTTAGCGCAGTGGGTGCACGATCCGGAACCTCCGCAGCCAGTGCTGAACCTGTATCCAATTTTGATTAGTGACCAAACAGAGCTGTTCTAGCTCAGGAGAGGGAAGCGTCTGATCCAGACCAAGTTGGGATTGACGTTCCTGATTTGGCCAATGTGCAGGCCGCGTAGTCCCCGACGCACCAGGATGGAACCCCGAGATTCTTGCAGGCAGGAGTCATGATTAGCCGGATTTAGAGGGATACATTAGTCCCATGGAGCCCGTGGGATCTCGGGGCAATAAGCAGATCTGATTCAGCCAGAAGACATGGTGGGTGGGTCGGTATGGCTGGACGGAAGAATCTCGTCATCCAGCTGGAAAGGTGAGAGAGATCGGAGATTCACGATGGCTGCAACCCGCGCGCGCGGGTGGATAATTTTGGCTCCCACGTGACGGTTCAGCGACATGTTCAATCCAATATCGGTAAGGGACACGGCGCCATTGCCGGTGTCTCGGGGAGAAAACCCGGACGGAATTGACTGAAGGGGAATAATGCGAACCATCAAAGGGTGGCAGGCACAAATTGCCAAGTGGTGGATTCATGACCTAAAGTTTACTCCATAGTTCGTGCCTTGTCTGTCAAGAGGGAGATGGAGATGTCCGAATCGTCATGGCGAAGCGACCGAGGAAGGACCAAGGAACGAAACCGCGGATCCATCCCTGGCGGACGCGATCGATCCTCGTCGTGCCTGTTGCAGTCTAGCGTCCGAGTAGTTCCAGCAGTGCGGGAACCAACACTGACCCTGACAGGCCCAGCCTGTCCTGTCCGCATGTTCATCCAAACTTTCAAAGTGGAGATGATTTTCATGAGCGCAGGATGGAGTAACTATACAGAATCTTTACTTATTGCCACACTTTGTTCCCAGGACTCTGGCACTCACCATGTCCTTGATGTCGATCATGCCGGAAGAACTGAAATCTCTCCTGCTAGCTACAGCAAAGCCGAACTCACCTCGCGTCTGCGTCGTCTACCATTCCCTACCTGCGGACGGGATACCTCCAACAGCAAGGGGTCCACTTACTTGCAGATGCCCCAGTGCTCGAGCAAATTTCAATCATTTACTCAGCTCAGCTACCCCACTCGCAAAACTCCGGCTGAGCAGGAGGATGCCATGCTCGTGGCTACTGTGGGAGGTACTCTCGAGTACTGCTGCGGTTTACAGACAGACAGACATAGTATGCAAGAATTGGCTGTTGTTGATGATTGCATTAAACCATCCATTGCACGCAACCATATTGAATTGGTTTTGATGGGTGGGTGTTCTGCATAGAATGTGTCAACTGTCAGTTTGTAGGGTCAGGTAACACAAAGATCATGTCGAGTGACTGCTGCTGCTGCCGGTGCAGACAGGGTGCAGATGGAAATGGAGGTCTCGTGTGGTATTTGCTAGCAATGGAGTGCCCGGCAGGAGTCACGGCAAGTACGGATTCAGCATTCCAATACACCCCGCCCTCTAGACGACCACACTCTACTTCACTTTCACAAGATTATCCTAGGTGTTACCAGAATCTGATAGTGAGGCAAAGGCTCAACCCACGCTTATTGTAAAACTATATTGTTTATCTATTACTAGTACCCGTACTCGGAAAGAATAATCGGTGCCATTAAATATTCGGAGTCCCCGTATACCCGGTCTAAATATATATCTCCACCTCAAAATACAGTGTATGCATCGTCGTAATGCTCGGTTAATCCTCCAACTTGATCTGGAGAAGCAGCAACTTTGCTTAGAAAAAGCAATATATCCTATCAAAAGTACTACGCTGCTTTCACAAACCCATAGTTATGAGTATCCGTGATCGATCATCAAAAGAAACACAACCTATAGTACGGAGTACATGCATTGCAGGCAACACCGGTGATAACACAAGAGGCGATAGTATATATCAGAAGTACCCAACGAATAGACGTACCACTCACGTATCAGATACACCACGACCCTATACTTCTGTAACTATGAGCTACTTACAGCTCGGATCCTGTCACATCATCCTTCCCCATCCAAAGAAGCAAAACTTCGCGACGACGCTAAACCATCGCCGTTTCAACGCTACTGCTGAACTACCACTATCGATGCAACCCCAAGACACTGCCTCCACAGTCAGACGCACAAGTCAGAAAGTAGCCTCTGGTCCAGCATGACACAAATTCTAGCGCTGCCCCATTAATGGGTCAGACTACCGTAGCTAGTAGATTAATATAATATCTGACTGATCGCCCCAATAGATTTGAAGTAGATTAAGCTGAATTTACCCCTTACTTAGTCACCTTCTTCCTCCACCAGACGGGCTTTTTTCGGAATTCGAATCCATTCAACCTGCGAATCTCAATTTCTCGCCGTGTAGCAGTGTTATGCTTGGTGGCTGCCTTGACGTGTCACTCTGGCCGGCATCACCGCGGGAGGCGCAATCAGCTGGATGAATGGTTGGACCTTCGGGGCACCAAGGTGCTTAGGATGGATGCTAAACCCCGGGCTGGTTGGCTGGCTGATCGCCCGGTCTAGATGCCGACAAGCTCGTTTGATTCTTTACTAGGTGTATAATTGTGTTGTTGGATGTACAATTCCACGGAGTCGCCGGATCTCACATTATCAACAACAATGAATGACAGGTTGCTCGGTCGGATATATCACAAAATCAAGCACCCTAATAAGCCACCGCATTCAACGCATGTGGGTGGTATCCGTGACTGCGAGCAACTAAATCGTCGAAGTTATCGACCGTCTCCTTCATGACATCCGTACCTACAGTAACATAACCACCGTCAGTATCGCACCTTCAAGACCGCCGCATAAATCAGAATGGCACAAACTCACCCCACATGAAATCCTGCCAGGATTTATCCGCCCAAAGATCCGGATTCTTCCCAGGGCCGCGAATAGCCTCATCGCGCTTGCGCTGTTCCTCGCCATCGGGCAAATGCAGCGCTTTCCGCGTAACCGCTGCGCTCTTCTGGATCCGTTCGGCGCGTTCCTTTCTTACCCGCTCATAAACCGCCAATGCGCTATCGATATCGTCCGTCAAAGCCAACACACACCCGAGCACCCCAGCATCCTCGATCGCCTGCGCCGCTCCCTGCGCCACATACGGCAGCATAGGATGGCACGCATCGCCCATCAAAACCACGCGATTCTCAATCCACGTCGGCAGCGGGAAATGCGAATTCAGCGTCCACTCCATCACCTCCCCGTCAGGAACATAACTCAATAAATCGCGAACGAGTCCATTCCAATCGGAATAAAATTCCTCCATCTCCCGCTTATCTCCCTTATTCGTCCAGCTTTCCTCCGTCTCCGCGCCTTCTTTCTGCGGATGCAGCAACACCATATTATACACGGTATTGTTCTTCATCGGGTACGCCATAATATGGCCTTCCGGTCCCATCCACCGCATCCCAACATTCTTCTTCAATAGTTCCCGCGCCCGCGGATCCCCTTTCATCTTGTCCTCAGGGATCTGGATCCGGTACGCCGCATCCCCGGTCGGCTGACAAATATCCTTCACTCCATGATGCGCCGCCATCTGGTGTCGCAGATCGGACTTGATCCCATCCGCCCCGATGACAACATCCCCGGATACCCATTCCCCGGTATGAAGTTGCACGCGCGCAGAGAAATCGGGCGCCGCACAGACGACTCGCGAATCAGTTCGAATGGGGATATTTTCCGACCGTACCGCCTCAAGCAGGATACTTTGTAAGTCGCCACGATGGATGACTGCAAGGGGAGCGTGATACTTTTCTCCGACCTACACCACATTAGCTTCCACAGAACCCCCGCAATGACGCAAGGTAAGGCATAACATACGGAAGGCATCAACTCCGCCTTCCCCAATTCCTCATCGTTCTTATACCTGCGGAGAGAATTCATCTCTAGCGCATTCGCCTTCTCCATGACCTTTTCCAGCAAACCCAAGCGACCGAGAATCCGCGCTGCATTCGGCGCCATCTGGATGCCTGCCCCGACCTCGGCGATTTCCCGCACCCGCTCGAGAATGGTGACTTTGTGGCCGGTCTTGTGTATCGCCAGGGCGGCCGAGAGGCCTGCGATGCCGGCGCCGACGATTAGAACGTGCAGGGGTTGACCCTTGATGTGGGGGAGGTGGAAGGTGTCTTTGTAGGTGTTCATTCTGGTTCTCGTACTGTGTATAGTGTCGTGTAGGGTAGGTATGGTTTAGAAATTATCGTAGAAAGATAGAGGTAAGTTGAGTGAGCATACTTATACTGAACCAGAGCAGTGACATCATGTGTACCAGTGCACTTCTACCACTTGTACAACTTCAATCGGTTGATGGGTCGGCAACCTCTATCTGCTTCTTAACGCATCAATTTCTACCATCTGTGGCACCGTACTTCATCGAAATCCATCTCTCGGAACACGTCTCGGGAGTCACATATGCGATAGTATACCCCCAACACGAGTCCACATTTTCACAGCAAGCAGGGATTTGCACTTTCAAGCTAATAAGTAGAACATGACAATAGCTAAAGTGGAGATGCGGATCGCCCGGAAGGAATTTGACTTCTTACTCTCCATGGAGTGTCGGCAGCCGAGTTCGGGATGTAGATTGCTGTTTTTGGGTATGATGTCATGTCATATCCAATATCCACCCATATCACGAACTATCCATTGTACGGAGTATTAGTCGAACTATAACTTCTACAATAAGGTATCAAATGTATGGGTACGGACATGGCATGAAGGTGCGCTTACTACGTTGTATATGTTGATGTCTTCCTATACTACAGGATGTAAGCATGACAGGGGAATGTCTTTTATACAGGATGCAGCATGTATGACACTACTAACAGGAGATTTATCTGCATAGAATCCTGCAACCCAACGAGAACGAACAGGATATACTTATATACGCCAGTCATGATACATGAGCATCAATATCGAACAACAAGTTAACCAATCAATTATCAACCAACCCGCCAAAAAAGAAAGTAGCATGAAATCATCCATAATCTAAGCCACTACCCCAATATTACAAGAGCTTCTTCCCCCCCTCAAACACCAACCCATCCAAATTCCCATGTTCCGCAAACCACACATCCCTCAGATAATTCCCCCGCGACACCCACGGTCCCCGATCCGCCGCCTTCGGCAACGCCCCCGACGCGCGGGTGATATACGTTGAGTTCAAATTCAAAAGCGGCCGCTCCTTTAGGCTTCCCGCCTCACCCGGCTGCAACCGTGGAATGGCTACCTTCGCACCAGCCGTCTCCAACTGCTTCAACAACCGACAGACAAACAACGCCGTAGCGTCGGCGCCCAACGTCCACGACGCATTCGTGTACCCGATCACGAACGCTGCATTGGGCAGATCCTGCATCATCATGCCGTGCCAGAGGAACTTGCTCGGGATGTGGATGGGTTCACCGTCGACGGTGACGGAAGCGCCGCCGGCCATGAGCAGTCTTAGCCCTGTGGCTGTGACGATGATGTCTGCGGAGAGGGAACCGCCGGAGGAGAGCTCGACACCGGATTCAGTGACGGTGGAGATGGTATCTGTTTTCACGTCGGCGTGGCCGGTGTGCAGGGCGCGGAAGAAGTCGCCGTCCGGGCAGATGCAGAGACGCTGATCCCAGGGGTTGTAGCGGGGTTTGAAGTGCGGGGAGTGGGGTACGTGGGCTGGGAGTTGGCCGGAGACGGAGAGGCGGAGGAGAAAGCGCGCAATGGTAGGGAAGGTCCGGCAGAACAGGAAGAAGAGGTGGCCGCTGATGAACCAGGTGATGCGCTGAATGCGCCGCGAGAGGGCGGCGGGCAAGATGTAGCTGTACCACGAGCGGTTGCTGTTGGGAAGGGAGAGGATGTAGGTTGGACTGCGCTGCAGCATGGTTACCCGCGCGGTCTTCTCGGCCAGCTTGGGGATCAAGGTGATAGCTGTGGCGCCGGAGCCGACTACTACGATGTTCTTGTTGCTGTAGTCGAGGGAATTGGGCCAAAATTGAGGATGGATGACTTCCCCAGTGAACCGGGAGAGGTTCGGGATATCGGCTTCAAGAGGTTGTCTGTAGTCGTAGTAGCCGGTGCCAAAAATGACGAACCGTGCAGTCAGGGCGCGAGATTGCCCATCGTGGTCGACGGTCAGGGACCAGAGCTGGTCAGACGAGGACCAGTCGGCGCCGAGGAGACGGTGCTGGTAGCGGATTTTCTTGTCGATGCCATGTTTGCGAGTGGCGCGATGCAAGTATGAGACAATAGAGGGGGCCTCGGCGATAGGGCTGTTGCCATCCCAGGGGAACCACGAGAAGCCGAAGGAGAAGAGATCGGAGTCGGAGCGAATGCCGGGGTATTTAAAGAAATCCCAGGTACCGCCAAGAGCATCGCGGGCTTCTAGGATAGTATAACGATAGTTGGGGAACTGAGATTGAATGCGGTATGCCGCATTGATGCCAGAGATGCCGGCACCGACAATGACAACATCCAAGTCGGTATCCATGACGAACAAAAGAGCAGCAGTATAATGATGGTGATGATAAACTGGGTGGTTGTAAAGGCTACTTATAACGAGACATGCAGCTCACATGGCCTCGGCTGCAGATGCAGCGCCATGATGAGTCCGAGGCTATCCTGATAGATCGTAACCGCCGGCCGTTGAGGCATCAAAAAATGGGCCTGGCGATCAGCGGGCAATCCCTCCCAAAGCGGAAACCCTTGCGACCCTCACATGCCACTGGACCGAACCGGCCCCTTGGATCTTTTGCAGTTCAGGCTGGGTGCCACAGGGGCCCGTGAAGACTTAAACTCGCTGTCGCACAGCCAGGATGTAGTCATTACTGTAAACAGAACTATTGTGAGACAGGTATCCTACCCGATATGATCGCTCCCAAAATCTCGCTCTCTTTGGCGGAGAAACTGGACTTGGTGCCAGCTCTCGCATCTATTACCTTGACAGTTTTCTGGGCCCTTCTGACCTCCCTTTATCGTTCTGCCGCATATCCCAAGACGTTGATGCTGCATATTGGCTATGCAGCATTTCGCAAAGCCACAGCCCGCTTGACAGTGGCCCAAATGCAGTGCGTTACATGACACCACCAACCTCTTGTGTTCATCCACTGACAACCCAGATATGCTCTTCCAACCACTGATCAAACCTACGAACGTTACGTCCGGAAGCACAAGCTACCCTCCAAGACAGTAAACTTGGGCGACGGGGCTCTGGGACATTGGATCGGGGACCCGAAAGCGGACAATATCTTGATTTGGTATCACGGTACATCCCCTTCCCCTTCCCCCTTCCACCATCCCATCTCTACAAACTAACAACAGATATAGGAGGCGGCTTCACCCTCCCCGCCAACGAAGGCTACTTCCAGTTCTTCCTGAACCTCATCACCCACCTGCGTAAATTCCACAATAAATCGCTCTCCATCTTTACGCTCACCTACACTCTCGCCCCGGGGGCCACTTACCCAACGCAACTGCGCCAAGCAACCTCCGCTCTCCGCCACATCCTTAACACGCACTCCCCTTCCCAAATTCTCCTTGGCGGGGATTCCGCAGGGGGGAACCTCGTCGGCGGAGTCCTCTCCCACCTCGCTCATCCCCACCCTCAGATCACCCCCATCCCCTGCCAAGAATCCCTCCGCGGAGCAATCATGATCGCACCCTGGACCAGTCTAGTCACGGACTACACCGACCAGGTGATCGATTCGCGCGGGGATTTAATTACCCCTGCTGTTGCGGGACCTTGGGCAAAGGCGTACCTTGGGTCCGGGGAACGGGACCATTATACGGATTTGTCCACTGCACCAGCGGAGTGGTTTGAGACCTTACCCGTGGAGAAGGTGTTGGTTTGTGGTGGCGGGAGGGAGATTCTGTTGCCTGTGATTGAGGGGTTCGTGGAGAAGTTGAGGGAGGGATTTGCAGGGGAGGTGGAGTTTTGTGTTGGGGAGGGAGAGGGACATGTGGCACCCATTTATAATTTGTATATTGGGGAGAAGGAGGAGACGGGGCAGGGGATGAGGGTGAGGGGGTGGTTGGGGGAGACTTTGTGATGGATGCAACGTAGATGATGTATGACTGGAAAGAAGTATAGAATGGTGGTAGTGGATAGTTGATTATTGATATAGCTTGTTTTTATTGCGAATCTTTGAATACTACATATGCAACGGACATGGAATATGTCAATTCTAAGATGGATCAAGACGAGAGGCCACATAGCAGTGTCTGCCTCACAATGGATTTTGACATATCACATACACATTAACCAAGTAGCCACACCGAAACTTGTTTGATTCTAAGTATGTATATGGGATAAATTATTGATTGTATCTTTAACAGAAACCACTCATAGTAATACCGATCAGATAATATTATCAATATACAGAAGGCTAAACTCCACAATCAACTACTGTAAGCACTATTTACAAACATCGTTCTCCTTCTGCCACGCCCTCAAATTGACCAAATCCTTCGATGCCAACCCCCTCGCCGTCTCCTGCAACCACGTCGGCCACGCCCGCACCAAACTAATCCACCACAATGATTCAGGCAGAATAATCTGTCCACTCCTTCCAGACAGAATCTGCTTCGCAATCGTATTCCCCACCCTCTCCACCGTCAAAACGGGCTGTTTGAATTGCTTCCCGGCATCCGTAAGCTGCTGGATCATGGGTGTGCGGACCCAAAGTGGGTGGACCACACTATACACTATTAGCACTCTTCCCTGCATCAAAAGGGAGCTGAAGGAAACTCACCTAGTCTTCACCCCCGTAGCCTTATACCAATACTTCAACTCCTGCCCCAACCCCTCATGAAACGCCAACGCACTTGCCTTCGAACAACTATAATCCACAATTTCCCCGAGAGACATGAAGCTAGCCAAACTAGCCACTGTCACTACATGGCCATGATTGCGCTCAATCATAGCGGGGAGGAACTCCTTCACCATGAGAAAGTGCGATATCGCGTTAACTTCGAACGTTAATCTGATTTTCGCCTCGGTTTCGTCGAGGATTGTCCCGTCGTTGGCAACGCCCGCGTTGTTCACCAGGACTGTGGGGTGGCCATGTTCGCGCCGGATTTGTTCGGCGACTGGGTGCAGCGCGGCGGAGGAGGTGATGTCTGCTTTGTAGAAGTGGACGTTGGGTGCTATTTTGTGTTAGTAGCTGAGAAGTTTTACATAGGGAGGGGGACGTACGGAGCTTAAAGGAGGGTTCATTAATGTCGAGAATGATGACTTTCGCGCCGTGGCTGGATAGTTCTGTCATGATTTGTTTACCGATGCCGCTGCATCCGCCCGTGAGGAGGACGAGTTCGCGGGCGTTGTCCCATTTCCGGGTGCTGAAGTTGCTAAGGGATAGCGAGTTGAAGGCGCGGTTGGTTTGGCGCAGTGCAGTGAAAGCTAGGATGGCAGCGAGAGCTTTAGGAACCAGCGGGTGCAGCAATGCCTGCTGTACTGGAGGAGGCAGATTGGCCAGGGCAGTTTGAGTCCATTCGTGGACGACAGGAGGGATGAATGACATGATGGAAAGCTATTCTAATTGGTGGTGAATTGTTGAAGGTACCTTGATCAAGCTAAGATAAGGTAAGAGCGTGGCGGCCCTTGCCATATATCTATTTACCGGAAGACCGAGGCTCACATGGCTGAAGATTGTGGCATGAATGTGGCATTCTGTACATAAAGAAACTGAGACTCCCCAAAGGGGAAATCATTGCGATTGATCCGCGGTTAACTTTCGGACACAACAAAATGCGGAGATGCGATCCACTGGTTTGCATTGACGCCGATCAACGGTGCCGATCCCATGTGAATTTGTTCCTATTCCCATCAAAGCATTGGGGTATACTCCAGACTAGTCTATCTGATAATGTTGAGAGATGAGGGGCTAGGGCTGATCGTCGGTCCACGCAACCGAGGCAAGTTGCATCCAACCGACCCTGAATGCGACGTCGATCATCATACCCTTTTCACGACCTCATTATTTCTCCTGCTCATCTATACTCTCAACTTGAACTTACTCCCTGCAATGTCTGTTCAACATTGTACCACATCATGGACTCTCGTGCTGCTGGGAGCGTCCCTCGTAGAGGGCTACCTCCTCCAACACAGTTTACTCCCCGACTGGGCCTTTCGCAGTGTGACGCTGCTGGCACTGGCAGGCAATCTTATCCTCCGATTAGTCTGGGGGGTCGTTATCTATCCATACTGGGTGACTCCATTGCGTCATTTGCCCACCCTACCGGTATACTTCATCAGCTGCTTTCTCATTACGATATAGTCACTAAAGATACCAGGGCAACCTCAACCACGCGCGCGTCCTCTTTGACGACCCCCGCGGTCGTCTCCCACTACGATGGATGAAAACCATCCCCAACAATGGTCTCATCCACTTCCGCGACATCTTCAACCGCAGCTTCCTGCTCGCCACGAACCACCAGGCCCTGCTGGATATCATGAGCACTAACACCTACGATTTTGAGAAGCCTTGGCGCACCCGCGAGTTCCTAGCAAGGATCATCGGCTTCGGGCTGATTCTATCCGAGGGCAGCGCACATAAGAAGCAGCGTCGAGCTTTGACGCCATCGTTTAACGTGCGGCATATTCGTGCGCTGTATGGGCTAATGTGGGAAAAGACGGGTTTGTTGATGGATGAGTTACAGAAGGAGATGGATGCGAATGAGGGCTGTGTGGAGATGAGTGTTTGGGCGAGGTACACCACCATTTTAGCAGCCACCATTTTACATTCGAAATACAATACTAAGTGATGAATAGTCGTCTTACGCTGGACATCATCGGTCCCGCCGCCATGGGCCGCGACTTTCGATCGCTCCACAACCCCGAGAACAAAGTCGCCGACAGCTTCCTCGCTATCCTGGAGCCGACACGCGAGAAGATCGCTTTCTTAGCAGTCAATGTGCTCCTTCCGCAATGGTTTGCGCGCAAACTGCCCTGGCGCCTGAACAAAGTCATCGACACAGAAACAGGCTACCTCCGGGATCTCTGCAAGGACATTGTAGCAGAGAAGAGAGCCGCGATACTCGAAACAAAAGCCACTGCTGCAGAACTAGAAGCTGATATTCTCGGTACGATGATGCTAGGTGGTGACTTTAGTGATGATGAGCTGGTTGATCAGATGTTGACCTTCCTGGCTGCTGGTGTATGTCCCTATCGCCCCCATACTTTTCCCAAATTGTAGAGGAATATATACTAAGTATGAATAGCACGAAACAACCGCCAGCGCCTTCACCTGGGCCTGCTACCTCCTCACACTACACCCAACATACCAGCCCCTCCTGCGAGACGAGATCCGCTCTCGTATCCCCACAGCATCCTCCCCTATCACCCACGCAGACCTCGAATCCCTCCCCCTGCTAAACGGCATCGTCCAGGAAGTCCTCCGACTGTATCCTACTGTCCCGCTGACTCTCCGTGAATCTATCCGCGACACCACTGTCGCTAACACTGCCATTCCCAAGGGGACGAGACTCCTTCTCTGCCCGTACGCTATTAACCGTAGTCCGGAATTCTGGGGCGAGGATGCCGATATGTTCCGACCAGAGCGGTGGGTGGATACAGATAAGGAGGGAAATCAGATTGTGAATGGACATGGAGGGGCGGGGACGAATTACGCTCAGATCACATTTTTGCATGGGCAGAGGGCGTGTATTGGGAAGGACTTCGCCAAGGCGGAGTTGAGATGTGCGTTGGCAGGGGTGTTGGGGAGGTATGAGGTGGAGATGAAAGATCCAACGCAGGTTATTCATATTGCTGGGGCGGTTACGACGAAGCCGGTAGAGGGGATGCATTTGAGGATGAGGAGGGTGGAGGGGTGGTAGATACTGTGGATATGGTGTGAGAGTATATAGTTTCATGAGTTACGCAAATAGTCACTTTTAGTAGTAAATAACAGTCTATAATGAACATCATTCCTTAACCACTGGTCGAGTCTTATGTGCCTGTCCATGTGCATGGGAGTGCCCATGAGCATGAGCATGTCCATGTCCATGGCCGTTCATCAATTCACTTGCCTTCCTCTTCCCACTCTTCTCCCCATTCTTCTTCTCCTCCTCCTCATCCTTAATATCATCCTCCTCCAAATCAGGCCAATCCTCCCATCCATCCTCCCAAATCCCCGCCATAACCTCCTGCTTCTCGGCCCTCTTGACCCCCTTCGTCCGCATCACTTTCTCCCACTTCTTCATCTCCTTTTTGTCTAGCAGACACTCATCAAGCAGCTTTTTAATTGCTGCCGTATCAATGCCCTCCCCAATGAAGACAATCTCCTGACGCCGATCGCCCCATTCACCCTTGAAGTCGTCTTCAATGGACTTGCGCACGTCCGCATCCTCCGGCCATGCTTCGTCAGGTAGTTCGGCGAACCACCCGCCACCACAGCCCAATGTGAGCATGGCGCCGGCTTGGCTCCATTCGCCGAATTGGTATGGGCGGGTGGCGAGCCAGAAGAAGCCTTTGGAGCGGAGGATGGGGGCGAGGATGGGGTCAGAGCGTTTGTTGGAAAGGATGGTTTCGGGGGGGATGGAGGTGATGTCTTCTTCGTCGTCGTCTTCTTCTTCTTCCTCGTCTTCAGTGTCATCTTCATCGTCATCTTTCATTTCTTCGTCATCATCATCATCCTCTTCATCATCTTCTTCATCATCATCATCATCCGCCCCAGCCGCATTCTGCAAGATAATGAACTTATCATGGAGCAACTTGAACAGCCTCCTGGGATGAAACGGCCGTCTAGCCGTATACACAAAGTTATTAATCCCATACCTGCCAACATATTAGCCAAAGAGCAAACCACAACCACAGCCACATAACAGTCAAACGAAGAAGAGATAATAAACTTACTCAACCGTCTCCGGCCTCGGCGCCACCCTGTCCCCATTCCCAGTATTCAACCGACTCATCTCATGCAGACTCCTCAACCAGCCGGCACCGCTCGCCGCCTTGACGAAATCAAACCTCCCCGTGCCCAGAATCTCCCTAACATCAATCTTGGAGTACTTCGCCTCCATGACCTTGGCCGCGGGATTAAGCAATTTGATCAGTGTGTGGATCTTCTCTTTAGCAACCTTATCAACGAGATCAATCTTGTTGATGATAATCACATCCGCGAACTCAATCTGATCGACCATCAGGTCGGAAATGGTTCGCTCATCCTCGGGGATTACTTCCCCGGAGGTATATCTATCGGACAGAAATTCCGCGGTGTCCAGGTTAGAGTGGAGATTGAATGCGTCGATGACAGTTACGGTGGTGTCGAGGGTAGTGAGGGTGTGGAGACCGCCTTGTTTGACACTGTACATACCAATCCATCAGCCCACATCAATCACGCAATAGAAGGGGAAAAGAGGGAACATACATATCCTCAATAACCTTCCTCTCCTCCACACTCAACACCTGATCACCACCACTCCCATCCCCATCCGCCTCCAACATGGCAGCCCCAAACTCCGCCGTGAACGTCTCAGCCACCTGCATCGGCTCACTAATCCCTGTGCTCTCGATAACGACGTACTCGACTCCATCTTGGGATGCTAGTCGCGCTAGCTCGGCGAGTAAGTCCCCGCGGAGTGTGCAGCATATGCAACCGTTTTGTAGCTGGATGAGGGATTCCTTCGTGTGGGAGACGGTGTGGTGGTGTTTGATTAGGGTTGCGTCGATGTTCAAACTATACCTCCATATTAGATGGGAATTGAATCGAGAATTGGGTATGGATGGATGTACCTGCTCATGTCATTTACTATGACTGCGATGCGGAGGCCATGGTCGGGCGAGAGGAGGATGTGTTCGAGAAGGGTGGTTTTGCCGCTTCCCTAGATGGTTATTATATTAGTCTCTGTGTATTTGAGAATGCAGGAGGGAGAAGTACTAAGAATCCAGAAAGAAGTGTAACAGGTAGCTTTCTCCTCTTGGATGGAGCTGGGCTGTCCAGTGCATTGTGAGGGGTTGCTGGGTGAAGGGATTCTTTGCCGGAGTCGATCATTTTCTTAGTTATCGATTCTTGTAGCTTTTGAGAGAATGAAAAGATTCGAAAACGTGTCAGTAATACATTTAAATAATTTGTCTTATATAGGTGTCACCACCAAGGTGTATATACTAATGTATACTACTTAGGGTTGGTTAGTTTTATCTCCGCTCTGATTGGTTTGCACCCAAGGTCCTCTTGTCTACAAGGTACTACATACTACTTACCATTCACATATGGTCTATTACCAAGGTACTCAGTGTCGTACCACATTGCTTACTTTACTAAAAGGAGGAGTGTAATATGTAAATAAACATAGTTCTATCTGTTTTACTGCCATGAATGACAAATCATCAACGACAGACCCTAAGTAGTTGAAGAACCACCAAGTAGAGCACTACCGCGTAACACTCTCGTCACTCACACAATCCACCCCAATTCCTCCCTGAATGTCATCGCAAACAATCTCTGCAGTGCCCTTCGGGCTCGTCAAGTTGACATTCGACAAAGTAATGTTCGTGCACACCGCATCTGGCGAACACACCAGATCAGCTACAATCTTGCCATCTTTGCCCGAGGAAGAGCCCCAGATATTCTCGAACAGGATATTCGTGATATTCACAGCAGACGGGTACTTGGCACACTCTGTAGCGTTGATATCAAAGTAGCACTGGTCCAGCACGATCGGCGCATCCGTGTTCTGGATCTGGATGTTCTTGTACGTGACGTTATTGATGCGGCCGTAGCCGACGTCTTGGCCGGCCCAGGCTTTGAGGCGGGCGCCGTTCTATTCCACATCAGTCTTGTAATATGGGTCAGTGGGGAACAAGAAGACGTACCTGTCCATTCAGCAACGTCACATTCTCAATGTACACGTTCTCAATGATATCCATCTCGCCCGCGTACTGGCCAATACTACCCATACTCACCCCGTGCGTGTTATTGCACCACATGTTCTGCACGAAAATGTTGGTTGTGTTCGGCTTCGGCGAGAAGCAGTCATCTCCGACATCGATGCGCATATTGGTGAAGCTGACGCCATCGACGTCGAGAGAGTCCATACCGTCGGTGTTGGCGGGGTCGGACTGTCATCAGTTAGCATCCATGCAATGGAAATCAACTAAAAGCCAGAGGAATAGAGGACTGACTGAAGCATTGGTCGAGAACGCATGAATATACACATTATCAAACGAGACATCATTGGTCCGAACGAAAAAGTTCGTCCAGCACGGCGAGTTCAGCTGCGTGATGCCCTCGACGGAGATACGGGTTGCATTATCGGTGAGGAAGAGAATGGGACGGTAGAACGTGTTATCTGAGTCCTATCATCGTTGCTGTCATCAGCATTGTCTGTTCTTTCAGGGAGGTACGGATGGTATCATGGTGTGACATACCAAGATCTGCTTCCCCGCAAACTCATCATACCATTTCTGTCCATTGCCGTTCAACACACCACTCCCGAAGATCTTGATGTCCTGGCCACCCCAGCGCCAGAAGGTGATGGATTTCTGGAAGTCGTAGTAAAAGTTGTTGGCTTGCCAGTAGGTGATGTTGTTTGTGAACTAAGCAGGACCACCGAAATCAGTATCATATTTTCAATACTCCGTATTGAAGAAGGGCAAGGAAAGTACCTGAATTTCTCCCTCAAGCTGCACCTCAATATTATCCAAGAATGTCAAATCTAACTTCTTCCCAATCACGTAGGTCTCCCCCTGCTTCAACAACAACCGACCGCCATGGTTCGCCTGCTTCAAGCCCCAGAGGAAGTCACTGGACACATCGTCGAGGGCGTTCCTCGAGGCCCGAATAGTAACTGTCTCTCGGTCTGGATACTTGTGATGTTGAGCACCAATGGCTCGTAGATCTGCTGTGCTGGATGCGGGGACGATTTGTGCGCCGGGGATGAGGGGAGATCTAGGGATTGAGACGCCGAAAGCGGCGGTGAGGAAGAGCGTCAAGGGAAGGAGGTACATTTTGCAGATTTATTCTTCTCCGCCGTTTTCTTCTCGTTTGTTCTGACTCAAATTCAACAGACAATGTTCATCCATTATATATGGACTCCTAGCTGGTGTAGCTGTACCCCAGATACTAACGATCGATAACATCATAGCCATCCCGATAATCTGGGGAAGGGATTGGGGTAACCCCACGGGGAAACAGGGAGAACAATTTCCCACCTGTCATCGTGATCTTGGCTGGTGCACGGGGTCGGCCTGAGCTGGCGCAATTTCCCCGGATTGTCAGTGAGGCTGGTGATGGATTTCCCACCAATCGAGGGTGACTCACGGGATGTAGATACGGTGAGTAATGGGGTGATGGGTTGAACGTTGTGGAGTGGCTAGCTCAGTGTGGGGATGGTAGCTGGCTATCGTATATACGTAGAATAAGGTGGGATTGTTGTTGTGTGGGTTTGCTGGTGGGATGATATCCTCCGTGATGTGGGTAGATGCGTAGAGGGCATGCTGTACTGCAGCATAGCATGACTCGACTATATACTGAGGGAGAAACGTATTATGTTATTGCAGGAATAATTGCTGCTTGCATCCTCACTGTTAATTCTATCTCATCAATCTCTCTGTAGTATCTCTGCTTGTCATCTGTCGAGTACTTTGACAAGCATCTCTTCTATACCATTATCCACACTCAGATCTATGCACAAGAAACTTAATGAGATAAATATTTAAACAATGTTAATAATCAAACATAAATCAAATTCTAGCCTTATGCATACGCTGTTTGCCTGCCATACAAATACTCTCTAAGTTGTAGATAAACCCATAAATCAGCCTCCCCCAAAAAACAAGTCTCTTCCTCGGCCCATCTGTTTATCTCCCCACTAAACCCCGCAGATCGTTCCCAACAGGCGATCCCAATCTCCGACTTATCCCCACATTGTCCCTCCCATACCCAACAAATGAATCCCAAAATCAAAAATCTCACAATCAAGACGCAAAACGAATTACAACTTCCTCCCCCCCAACACCAAAGCAGTAATACAACTGATATTTCCAGACCACCACAGCACCGACCGCGAAAAACTCAACGTCTCCGACTCAATAAACACATACGCAAGCCCGAACAAGATCCTAGATATCGTGTACCATGCCCCGATACCATTGATCACGTCGTTAGGGAGGCCTGTGTGTAGGGCTACTACCACTATATCACCCATGGAAGCAATTAGCATTTTACTCATGATAAAAGAGGCATTGGCTTTGGGTGAAAGGTTGGTCACGCACCAGCCGCCACGAACAGCGGGAATCCCTCGACGGCATTCGCATGCGCTGCCTCCTGTCGCTTGAGTCGATTCAGTTGTCTGCGGGTGATCTTCCCTGCTTGCACTGCTGCCTCGCCATAGACTTGGAGGTCTTCTCGGGGAGCGACGTTGTGGTCGATACGGAGGAGACGTTTCGCGGGCCGCGTGCTGAGGATGCCGTAGGCGTAGAACCAGTTGAAGAGGAGGTAGGGGATGGCGCGGTTGGGGAGGTCGTGGCCTGCTGGGGCTGAGAGGCCGAGAATTGTGAGAAGGGATCTGATTCTCTTAGTAGGATGTACTGTAGTGTGAAGTGAAGGAGTAACTTACGACATGATTGAGGTGCTTAGTTAGGAGATGCTTCTGCTGTGGAGATGGGAGAAGATTATATACTAAATCTATGTAATGATCGGCAGTCATATCGTACATCATAGCCTGTCGGCTTCACATGAAACTTTTATTCTTGATCGCAATAATTCGCTATCCCAACGCCTCGGTACTACCGACCCTTGTCTACAACAGCGCCAAAAAGTCCTGGTCCCACATATCTGGGATCGCAAAGTCGTTGAGGTCGAATAGTGTCCCGAATTCAGACTGCATCCGTTAGCATTCGTCTCTACCAGATGGCTTATCAGTACTCACTGTATCCAGCCCATAGGATGAAGGGTCGAATTGCATTTCTGGCGTTGCCAGACTCAACGATGGTGTAGAAATCGGCTACTTCTGTTAGCATATATCAAAGACGAATCGGAATTCATACGTACTGTCGATGTGGCCTTGGCTCGGACCGTCTCCCAACTTGCTCCCTGCAACATCTGCTCGCACATCTGCATACATTGCATCGCGTCCCGCTCTATCGCCTTCTGCGGATCTTCCCCTCGCAGTCTCGCCCTCACCGATGACAAAACGAGCGTCGGCAGAAAGAAGGCCTTCCCTCCCTTGCCGTTTGGTGTAATCCGGCTGCCGAATGTTTCAACTGTCCGCTCAACTGCTCCGATCATCACCTCCTGCTGCGACCGTACTAGATCATTCAATGATGTGAGTGCGCTGGACTGGATTGTCGATGTGTTCTGCGTGTTGAACTCGCCTGCCTGCAGGTACAGCTCAACGCATACCGTCAGAGCAGCGTGCAAAAACTCGTCGCGGAACGTTCCGCCGCTCAGTTGCCCCAGATGCGGGCATACCTGCGAGCTCGCCGGGGGCTCGTGGTGAGAGAGGATCTCCAGTGCGGACTCAAGGCAGATCTTCCGCGAGTAAGAGAATTTCGGCGACCGGATAATACTCAGCGCAAAAGGCCGATTCAGAACGAGAATCGATCGCCGCAACAAAAACACCAACATTGACTGCGCGAATGACGGGCCGGTTCCCGAAGGGGTCGATCCGGCCTTCTGGAAGATTTCCAAGCTGAAGTGCATGAATTGGATCAGCTCTTCGCTCAGCCGCAAGGCTTCGTCATATGATATCGTAAGTTTCAGACTGTTAATAGCCTTGGCGATGCGGAGTCGCAGGGGTAGCGACTGCAGGAGCAAAACCTGAAAAGTGCTTTGTGTGTGTACCCCTATATCTTTCGGAACAGGATCGTCGACCATATTTTCCGTCAGCTGGGAATCGTCCAAGTTAGAGGGCGGCTCGCAATCGTATTCGTCCAGGTCGATCGTGGGTGGCATCCCGCCATCCAAAGACGACTGTAAGTCGAGCTCCAAAATGGTTGCCCATAGCCGCCGGCGCATCTCGGCCCAGAATTTGGTCATCTTGCCAAATCGATGAGGATCCCGATGCAGCCCCATGGTCATGGCAGTCCGTATGAGCGAGCCAGAGGAGATCCACACAATGTCCCCGTCATTCGCATCGGCCTGCCGTGCAATCATCAAAAGACATTCAATTTGCAAAATGTTGAAATCGATGGTCGAGCTGACCAGCGTGAGCGCAATCCACGACCGAACACCGGCAATCCATTCAGCGGCTGTCTGATACACTCTGCTCTCCCCATTAATCTTAGTGTTCGGGTTCAAAAAACAGCAACTGGCTGCCATCAATGCCAGCAGCTTTGCCACAAAAGACGGTTCCTTAGGCTGCGCTCCCGCCCAGAAGTTTTCGTACTGCTCCAGGAATGTCGGGATATGCAAGATACGATGTGTCGTCTCAAACGTGGTCAGATACAATTTGAGTAGTTCGTCAGCAACTTGTCGAGGCGGAACCATCTCCTCCAGCGAGGGAGACTTTTGTTGATAGGCGCGCTGGTGCTCCTGTCGCTCCCGAGCCCATATCTCCCCCTTGAAGTCCTTGAACTTCTTGTAATTGGGGATTCTCTTCAGCGTACTGCGGCGGCCCCGCATGAACTTGCCAACATCTTCAAACTGCGGATATTAGCACCATTTACGAATTAGCCATGGCATAACGCACACTTACAAAAGAGATAGAGACGGACGAATGACTCCGTCCAACGAACCGCGTGCGGATTTTCTTCCCCCGAAAACAACACCGATCGGGGAGATCTTTCACATTGTCAATGAGATTTTGCGACTCCGGACCCGAACGATGCCCGATGTCTACCGAGTCACCACCCAAACTTTCTGGGGTGTGCATAGACCCAGTTTTGGAGAGCGCGCTTTCCAGGAACTGGATGCGATTACGCAGCTCGTGCAACTCGTCCGATCGCGCTTTCGGCTTGGTCACCCTGTTCGCGGACTGGTGCTTGGAATCAAAGACATAGAGGCCACCGTGCGCCGGGCTGGCTCGACTGCTGGAGACACGCACGCGTTCTGGCGGGGTGCGGGAAGCACTTCCCGACACCGGCGCCTGAGGGCCAACGTAGATGCATTGATCTGGCGTTTTGGACTTGACGCATTGCCCGCATGGCAGGGAGCGATCACATTTTAACTTGCGACGCCTGCAAATGGTGCAAGATAGGGGTGGTCTGCGCCGTCGCGGCGGAGACTTTGGAGAGTGGTCTTCTTCCATTGCTTGGAGAAAAGGAGCAAGATTCTAGCTCGGGGCGATGATGTGACTGATGGTGGTGGGATGGACCCGACCGTGCCAAGTCACCTGATGCAGTTCTATCGGCGGTGGAATTGTCGTGAAGTTGATGTTAGAGATGAAGCGGAGGTCGACAGCAGCGACCGGCGACATCATAGTCTTATCTGATCTGTAAGCTTACGGCCGAGCCCCACGGGCTTCGCTGCCTAATTTGGCTCAGGAGTAAGACGTGGTCATTCAGAGTGTGTGGCACTTGATGGGCTTGAGTGGTTAGTGGCAGCCTGGGGCGTACTTTGGATTCTTCGTAGTATCTCATTAGTCGATGGGTTTAGTTCTGCCTCTTCAGGAGTCATCCGGGATTACCCATCGGACTTGCTCGATATGGTTGTCCGAGATTTCGGAGTTACGGTTTATGGTTAGTCTCGCTCACATAAGCATGTTTGTCAGTGGTCCCCAGCAAGAAAAGACAATGAAATAAGGGGAAAATTTACCTGTTGAGTACCCATTCCATGCAGTGCCTTTAAATATAAACTGATTCAAGTCTGGTTCTAATTATATCCATACGGAAAATAATGTAATTTTTGGAAGAAACTCCGTCTCTTCTGGAAATGAAGTGGAGGGGACGGCAAGCGTGACGACATTAGATGTCGGCTCTAGCTGAATCTAGTCTAGCCCCAGGCCTGCATTTCCCATAAGGCTGAACATTGCACAGGTGGAGAAGCCCATCCAGTGCTTGTCTTGTATCTTACTCGATACGACTGTCCTGCCATGTGAGTCAATACTACCTAGGCTGGTCGTGGCTTCTTTTCTTACAGATAAATAAGTAATTCAATAAAGTTTAAAATAATAAAAATTTTTAGATTTAAGCTATTGGCTGGCATAGTCTCATCATCATCATAGGCACCCAAACTTGTCCTCATGACCATAAAAGCGTCGATAGATACCGTGAACAAAGCGCTGCTAAGCTAAAATAGTCTGCTGCATATCGGCCTTCGGGCCTAGCAAACACCGAACATAGTCAAACTCTTATCTAGTATTTGAAAGAATACTCTCCGAATTTTCCACACTAATATCGCCTTGGTGCTGTGACAAAAAGACTTCTAGGTTAACGATGCATTAGACTTCAAAGTCATCCACTCCTCAGCAAAGTACGTAGGTACGCCATATCTAGTTAGATACGGAATAACAGCGTTGGGATCTTGTGCAGTTTCCACGTGAAAGAGTCCCCTCCGTTCCAGGAGCGGGGCTCGACTACCTAGCCTTTAGATGTTAGATTGAGGACCCGGTTTCTACGTAAATACCATGTTTCTTACCGTCATGGTCTGAGCCCTCCTGTGGGACACCTTGTCCACATTTGCACGTTCCCTTTCACTCTATTACCGACAGATTCTGACCACTTCAGCTATATCACCACATTGACTTGGCTTGTTTCATCGATCCGCAGGTCTCTATCGGCATGTAAACAGGACTGCAGTTTGCTCCATCCACAATAGAATTCTATAACTTGTCATTGCATATTGGCGTACCAGAGTAAATGTCTTAATCACCATTGAAGTTAGGCCAGAAAGTTCTATATTTTCTGGGGCCTTGTCTTCCGGCCGCGTTGGCAACGAGCGGTGTTCCGTGTGTAAATCCCTGGTGAACCAATGGGTGCTGGTGATCAATTAGCCAGCCTTTTGGGTATTGAGAAGTCCATTCCATTATTCTCTTTGGTAGTGCGAATCAAGAGAAGCAGGTGGCGAGGCGGACGGCGTGGGTAATACATTGATCGTGGCCTGAATGTGCATGGAATTACCTATAGAGTCAATCTTATATTACCCAGGCGGGATTCGCGGGGCTGCTTAGTTGGGATTTCCTTTTGTCGTCGGCCTCAAGTGTGCAGTCGATCCGTTCTAAGATTCAAGGGCGAGAGTTCCACACGCGGTCTGTTGAACCGCTGGGACATCCCTGTGCGCTTTAGGCAGTAGTCACATTGTATCGAGTGTCTCTTTGGCTTTTGTTTAACTTCTCTACTGCAATGTCGTGTGGAGCCCTTGTCCAGGTTTAAGACTGTAAATGTTAGGGTCGAAATAGTACCAGTCCTACGGTGCATCAATGCCGAGGGTTGTCCATCTTCTCCTGTATCTTCAGGTTCGAATATTAATGTTCATTCGAGGCTACGTCGGGCCGTCATACTGGCATGTAAGCGTGGCCAAGATTCACTCCATCCACTTTCGACGACAGCTATGGGTAGGTTGCTTTATCTTGATCCAAATATGTCTGTTCACCTTGAAGAAGTAGCATATATCCGGTAGAATCATTTGAAAATGCTCGTATAGTCTACTATATGAGATGGTATGGGAGAGGAGCACTGGTAGGAACTGATGTTGAAGAGTCAACTGCAATATATACACGATCTCAAGTATTACGAAGTGGGTTCTCTATCCATATTGCCATTCACTTATAGGTAAAGCATTGACAGCAACACAGACATAGCTTCAGATTTGATCCACTGCGATTGATCTGTCAATTACACCGCATCAATTACCCAACTGAGCTCTGTATTGTGAGTATTATAAGTCAAGTCTTGGAGGCGTAGTGCATGCGTCATCAGGCACCCCATTGCGATGAATTCTCGATTAAGCAACAAAGCATTGCATGCTTGACAGAGTATCCAAAACAACGACAATCATCATTCCAGACACAGTGTTCCTAGGAATGAGCATTTGAAAGACAACCAGAACAGTCAGCCCTGGTATTTAGGCTACTCCGCGGAGTTTCTCATCAGTTGTCACCTCGGGAACAGGCGGAATTCAAATCCGACCTCGTTGGAGGAGAGGTAGACCTGCTCCATACGCAACAATATAAGCAATTCACTAATTCCGAGGCAAAATCATCACTCTGCCCATCACGATGATCTGGCACACAGTCCAACAAGTTGTCCGATGCCCCGAAATGGGAAGCCGGAGTAGATATCAGATTCCGATACCGCTGATTAATGCGGGCCCGCGCGGATGATCAGCCGCGCCAAAAGACACCCAATCGCCGCCACTCCAACAATGTCATCTGAATACCCTCAGCACTTCCTCGCCTCAACTTAGATCGCGTTGCTTTCTTTCCCTTGTCTTTTCTGCATGCGGGTTTTATTTCCTGGAGTTTCCGTCCTGAAACTCACCTCCTCCGCAACATGTACACTCTGCCCGTCTTGATTGCGGCTTTATTTTTACATGTCAAGTTCCCCTTGCTTCCGGGTCTGAGAGACACCCTCTATGGCATCATTGTCCTCAGCGCCTGCAGCGCCATTTTCTACCCGCCGGATACCAGGGACTTTATCAGATATACCAACGCATTTCTGTCTACTTCCTTTGTCATCCGCGCTGTGGAACTTCTCCTGGTCCAAGATCTGAGTCACTTAAAGCGCCTACAAAGAGTGTCTTACCTATCCTCTTCACCCGTATATACATGGGAGCCCATATCTCCCACGCTAGGCTGGAAGCGCTTTGTCCAGGTCTGCGATCTGATCATCAATCCACGCGCCGTGGGTTGGAGCTACGGCTCTCCCAAGTACCAGCCTCCCGTCCGGAAGCTCGAGGCTGCCTCAGCCCCGGATGGCGCAAATGGCTGCGTTCCTAAACGTGAGGACATCGTCCTGGTAGCGGGTGATGACCGCTTCACGTTCCTGATAGGCAAGCTCTGTCGAGCTCTCGTAGCCTATTTCATCATCGACTCGTACCAGACAGCGATTGGGCGGAACTACTCCAGCGTCAGCAACTTCGTAGAGACATTCCTGACAAATGTGCTGGGCATCCAAGCATCCCCGGCCAAAACTGAGGGTGTGATCCGGTTGTTCGTCCTCCCACCAGTACACTGGATGGCCTCATACGCCTTCGTAGACGGAATCCACGCCGCTACCGGCGTATTTTCCGTCGGAGTGCTGCGGATCATCTCTCCGCAGCTCGCAGCGGAACCGTGGATGTATCCTCCTGTCTTCGGGGCAATCCGATACATGTTCACCTTTAGCCTACGAGGCAAGTCACCTAACCCCCCTTCTTACTCGTCCAAGGGCAACAGTCTAACAAAAGAAAAATCCAGACATCTGGGGCAAAATGTGGCACGATCTCTGCCGTCGGCCATTCCTGGCCCTTTCCCTCTCCCTTGTACCAGAAGCATGCCCCTTAGGCCTCAAACGGCTCCTCATCGTCTGCCTCTCCTTCATGGTATCTGGCATCGTCCACGCAGCAGGGACCTACGCCGTCTCGAAGGACTGGTACGCCGCGTTCATGATGATGTTCTTCTTCTGCGTCCTGCCAACCTGTGTGGTCGTGCAGCAAATCATCTCCGATCAGATCTTGCCGCGTGTCCTTCCCGCGAAAAGTACTATCTCTCGGGTTGTTATTTGGCTCGTAAATGCGGCATTCGTGGCAGCGTGGGGCTATTATACTAGTCCGTGGTTTTTGAATTACAGTAAGCTCCCGGAGGCGATTGAGTCGATTCCGATGCCGGTTAGTTTTTGGGGGGTGGTGCTTGGGGTTTAGGTTTGGTTCGATATTGGCGGCGGTTGGTATATATAGATCGTGTCCTTACAAAGGAGGGGGAAGGGGTGTGATGTTGTGTGAGGTTGTTAAACGGTTCCTAGTTTGTTTGTTTTGGCATAGCGTTATGATACCATCTTATACATTTGCGTCTTTATAGGTATTGGATTGGATACTGATAGGGTTTCGGTTGTTAGCTAGGAGTTGAATACCATACATAGATTGTGTTCAGCTGGTATTATGATCCAATAATAATGCGCATTATATTGAGATATTTTCGGGTCGGCCATCTGGTTAGCAACTGCCAGACTACAAGTCCCCAAAGTATGATCAAATTTGTACTGCTTTTGGCTTGATAGTATCGTTACTGCTGCAGGTACATTGATTCATCATATCCTCTCACTCAGCGATGATACTAGTGAAGCATCCTGAAGCCAAACCTAGCATGAAGGGATAGTAGCATAACTGCTAAGGGAAGAAACCACGTAGCAACCCAACCAAAAGATTAGATTTACGTACTACTAAATTAAGATAAATCGACTTCTCCATCTTAGACACGTATATACCCATACTCCTCCCCGAACCTGGCAACACAGTTGCCTATGCGGTGTTGTCAACAACAACAACGCCCCCGTTGGTGGCCTTCTGTTCGGCGTCGTATATATCCCAGGCTGAGCAGTCAAATATTTTACCTGAAAAGTCTACCTTCTTGATGAGATCGTCAAAGCGTCGGCATGCCTCCATCATTGCCGATTTGCTTTCCTCGGTCCTATTCAGCTTGAAAGTAGGCTCGATCCCTAGGATCCAATTTCGGTCCTTTTCGTAATCTTTCAACGTCTCGCATATCCTGACGCATTTCAGAGATGACCGACCCGCTTTTGCTTTTCGATATCAGGCTAGCAAGAAAGATATACACAGGGCGGTCGCATCTAATTAATTCCAGGCGTTCTAGAGAGTCAGGAAGACCTGGGACATCTCGTAACCCACATTGCTCCACTGTAAGGCCGTTTAATAACAGTCTGTATGACGCGCATAAGAGTGACCATGTGGTCCCCATACACAGGTACCCACAAACCGCCAGAGTTACGCCATTTGGAACTTGACGGAACAATTCGGGCTGGACACGGGCACATACTCCGTTGGATGTTTGGCAAAGCTTCGAGATGGCAGCAAGGTCATTTGCATAACGCAATTCACCTATTATGAGCAGCAAGATCTCTTGGGAGAGATACAGAAGACTCATTGTGGCTATCAAAGGAATCAAAAGTGGCAAGATTTGCTCTCGCCAGATGCTGTGGCGTGCGGAGAAGAGATATCGAGCGGTGATGGAACGATGGATGGAATATCGATGAGTATGTCAGCTGTTATCAGTATAAGAAGGGTATGTAGACACCAGATTCAGAGACCCAGATAAGCCTGAGCACTTGACATATCTTATGGTCCAGCATCGGTCATCGGTTAATGAATTGATGAGGTGAGATTCGGTATTCCCCAAGTCTGAAATGTCTGCCCAAATTATAGCTATAACTGAAGCAACGGGACTTGAAGGCATACTAGTAATCGCATAGAAATAAGAACAAAGGCTTGATATTAAGGTGATTTTAAATACCCTAATCCCAGTAGCTGCCTTGCCCAGATGTGCTGGAATATACATTGCAATATCTCGAGGCGCTAGTGCGATATCGACAGGCAATGAAGCCGTTCAGGGGGGGCAGCCTCGATTTTGCTGTAACTCAGCAGCACAGGAGATCAACTATGTCGAACAAGGCACAAGCTTGACTATACACCATTGAATATCATGTTAAGTTTATCCCAAAGTTTTTGTTGGGAACAACTTAAGTAGAGTCAACAAAGGTTCGCTCAGCCGCGGTCATCTGATTGGGCGTCCGCACTGGCAGAAGCCGAGATCCCAAGTTGTGGCTGCCCTTCATCCTCCACGTCCTTTCAGCCTGTCTGCCACCACGATACTTACACTTCAAAGAATCAGCAGGGCAGTGAAGCAGCTCAGGTCACACAACTGCCGCCCATAGCACGTCTAATCCCAGACACGGGCGGTTAGACCCCAGTATTTCCCCTTTACCAGTCACCTTCCGAGGAAACACTGCTACCACCACACTTGCGGTCGGCATCCAGCTCTACCACTACAAATTCCCCGTTACCTGTCCTTCGTGGAGATGTCATATACTCGACCATAAATCAATGGCTTAACCCGGATTACACGAATTAAAGAACGATGTTCTACAACGCCCTCATCCGAACCCACCACATCACCTCCCGCAAAAAGGTGTCTGCGCTGAAACGCGCAGCCGACATACACAATTGCTTCGTGCTTCTGCGCTCCGGTGGATGTCCTGGGATAATGTATGTCGAGGCGAAAGACCAAGGCGCTGTTGAGTCTTGGGTGACTGTCGTTCGGAAACTACGGTACAAGGATTTTCAACTAGCTACGCGGCCAGGGCCCCTCCACGACGAGAATCAAACAGAGCTTCGAGATCAGCAGCAATTACCCCAGACGAAAATGAGGGATATAAGAGCCGGTGTGTCGGAGGTAGAAACCGTCAAGGAGTTTGGAAGTTTAATGGAACAACGCGGTGTCTGGAAATGGTGGAGGAAGGGGATGGGATACGTTGGTTGATGTCGCGATCGCTGCAAGCGCATGCTCAACTCATAGATTGGGCTCTCATCCTTATGGCTACCTCTGCCCTTGGCTACAGTTCAGCCCGGCATTCTGCGGGATCTAAGGTCTGGACTCGCGGTTCTGGAACCAGCTTACTAGTCACAAAGATTGGAGGCCTCATGTGTCAGTCTGCAACTCGTCATAAGGCAGCTATTCTCCTCGCGTGCCAGATCATCCAATTACCGACTGTTTACAGTCGCGAGAATGTGTGCAGTTCAATATCGATACTACGTCACCTCATCGAAGCTATATACACGAACTCGGTGTCGATTTATGCAGGCCCAACTCATCCATGCCAGGTTGAATTGTCATGCTCAGTTACCCAGTTATGATGACCGGGCAATCTATCAACGGGGCCATGTTGACCAATATTGTCATCTGGTGCAGGTACATCCAATGGCTGCGGCATTGGAGCCAAGTCTCTTGTTTGGTTTCTCGTTATCGAGCAGTCTGGGTCGGTCAATCCTTGTGGACCGGTACAGGTGTCTATAGCCTGCTGCAAGGCGACCTGGTCTGTCCAACCGTACATGAAATCTCCGTGCAAGCCGTATCCGGTTTTATCACCTGTCGCGTATATCCAGTTCTTGTAGTCTGGATGGGGCGCTGTGTTGAAAAAGAATTCCAGAAAGATGGAATATATCGCAACGGGATGAGACTTGGGGCAAACACCCTTGTTATAGTCTCCAGTGTCGGGATACGCCATCTACAAACACTGTCAGCACCCCCACAAATGCCCGTAGACAACGACGCCTACATGACTCTTATGATCTGAGCTGTCCAGATTTTCTCCATCCCAACAGGAAGGCATGAAGACCTGCGACCTCAATATTTCACAAGGCTGCTGAGGCAAGCCCTTCGTTTCATTTGAGCTTCCATCTTTGCCAATGCACATATGACTGACAGCACGCTGGGACCAGTTCGAATAATTATAGGTCCTGTTCCCATCTGATATCAGCACCCTCACCCATCGAAATATAAAACAGGCAAACGAACCGAAGACTCGGATCCCCAGCAAGCATGCGCAGACCTTTCGGCGGCGCCAATGGAACCAGCTTCTCATCACAATCCGTAGCACCAGCCGTATAATTACACGCTCGATCAAAGTAATAAATACTCTATCTAATCCATTAGCCAGTTCGTCTCGGTCTTCAACCAAGTTTTCAGGACTGCCAGCGAAGTCCAAAGCAATACCTACACTGGACTGGTATTCCACGAGCTCAAACGATCCATTTCTCAGGCGATGATAAAGCTGTGGAACCCAGTAATTGCTCCTATCAATATCCACTTCGCACGTCGTCCCCTTTGCGTTCTGCGCCGTGCTCTCATTCATTGTTCTCTGGAATGCTGTGCCCCCGGTAACGACATGTGTGTGCGTAGATGGCTTCCCTGGCGCGACTATCGGATCGGACAGTTGCGTCGTCAATGGATCGCAGCTGAAGGTGAACTCGTCTGTTGTGCGCTGCTCTGCGAGGGCATTGCTACTGCTGCTGAGCAGAAGTAGCGCTGCGATGTAACCGTTATGCATGATGCTGTTTGTTCTTATCCGTATTCAAAAGACAGAGGCACCACTTGTTTCATACAGTAGTAGCCCGGCAATTGCAATCAATGCAACAGTAACTGAACCCAAGGACAAGAGCGAAATCAATTGATGAGAGAAAGAAGTTCATAAAAAGATAAAAGGTAAAGCCCAACTCAGCCCGTCCCAATATCTATATTCCATTCTGTCTGTCATTCCTCACGTCCGTTTAACCTCCACCCTCGGCGCCTCCTGTATGCTTGTTTCCGCCCGGGCGTCTGTAGATTAGCATTCCAAGCGTCAATGCAAATATCTCAGCCACTGCGAATACCTCCGAGGAATGCTATGTTGTGTAGACGCCGATCCGAGTACGTAGGACACGTGTTCAATGTGAATCATACTGTGTAAAGCGGTGATGTTATAGGGGTATATATATATTTTGCAGGGGCTGAATTATTTGTCCTTGTGCATAGTAAGGGAGTGCTAGTAGGATGGATGATCTATTGACTTCAATTTCATAAACGCTACAAATAATAATATCTGATACGGTTCAGGTTGGTGCTTCACGAGTTGCATGGCTTGGTGGGTAGAATGACTGACAATTCGTGTGAAGCATGTACTAGGACCAATAGTTGTTCTGCTACTGTAATGCAATTCTGGATGGGGAGGAGGAGGACTAGTAGTAGTAGTAGTAGTAGTAGTAGTAGTAGTAGTAGTAGTAGTAGTAGTAGTAGTAGTAGTAGTAGTAGACATATGTATTGTTATTATGATACATGTATTTTGCGGTTCTATCTGGTAGTAGTATTAGTTATATTTATTATCTTTGATACCATTTGACCCCAACTTTGTTCTGAAGGAAAGCCTTTTAACAACTGCAGAGGCCAAGTACTTTTGACCGAGGAGACGCCGTTGCGCAGAGCTGGTTGAGAAGGACCAGTGAAAGGACCTTGTCATTTGTAACCCATCTACCAGAGCTACACAATTTAATGGAATGTGACTGGAAGACTCTTAGATTCTGTTATTCAAGAGCAACGCTATCTTGTCAATTAGAACGTGCTATTGCATATGGAACTTTCTCTGCTGATTTATGATGGCGCAGTATAAATGCAGCAGAAGAATCCCGCTCGCCAAACACCGAAAACACCCGGCCTTAACCGCCGCTGACAACATCAAGCTCCCCATTTGACCGTACAATCCTGGGCCGTGGCCTATGGCTGCCTGGCCACGCATGCATGTACTACCGAAGTAACAATGGCATAAGCAGCTAAATTCAGGCCTGATGCCAACGCCATTAACATCCGTCGGACCGGGCACTGTAGTGGATCATTGGTGACCGGGGGCTATTCCTGTGACCAGTGAAAACCCACATCCAGATGCAGGGATATCAGCCCATCGAACTCCCTAATAATTTGCCGGATGAGCGGGGTTTTGCATCCTGGCCTAGTCGTAGCCTCGCACTGCAGCACCCACCTCATGCCTTGCATAAAGGTGCCCTTCTCAATTCCTTCTAACGTAGAATGCCCCAGACATATCCTTTATATTCCTGGTATGGAAGTCCTTTAGACATAGCAGCGGCTGCGTCGAGGAAAACCTTAAAAATGTGACCCGAACTGGGCTCAGGGTCATGATTACTTGCAGCCACTAAATGGAGCATTGATATACCTCTGTAGATGAGGTAAGGTAGCTATGCTCTTTAACACACCAGACCAGTGTTCTTACCGAACATGGTCGAGCCTGGCTTGGATCGTCTTGTCATCGAAGTGCCCGTCTTCGCCAACATAGTTGTGAAGGGCTTCTGAAAACATCAAGCGACGGGGAGCCTTTCGTCCCGTCATGAGCTCAAATTGGGGTATCGCTTGCTCGACCACATTGTCAAGTCCGTCAACCAACACCCAAGGGCGCCCGGTTTCTGTCCGAATACGACGCATCTGGCGCAGCAGTGGCGTGTCCAGTGGCTTGTAAGCAAACTAGCAAGGAAACGTCAGTCAGGCCCACCTGAGCACTTTGATAGAGATCTTACCTCAAGAACTACGCCGCCAGTTGGGCTCCCCAGCCATTGCATAGGCATTTCAAAATTGGCTGGCGGTTCATCCCGGTCGCGGTCCGCAGGCACACAAGATGCAATCATGCAAGGCGGACAGGCGTCCTCGGGCCATTCATCCTTCAAAGACTTTAGCACATACACAACTTCCGTCGAGTCCACTTGTGAGGCTGCCCAGGAGTTGAAATGGCGAGCGACACTTTCCGCTCGTGATAAAGTTCTGTTGTAGATAAAGATCTTACGGCATCCGAGCCGCAGCATGGCATAGACAGCGGCGCGAGCCATCCCGCCCGCTCC